ATATTTGGTGCCTGGCATTCTTGCACTCTGCAGCAGCAAGAGGAAGAATTAATCATTCACTGTACCCTGACACTGTTCGGAAAAAACCTATCAAGTTAGTATTAAAAAAATTCATTTTATCTCCTTGGATGTTTAAAGTGTTATGAAAACAAACTTTTATTCATCTTGCCCTTTCACATGGAGACTTAGAGACTACAGCACATATCAGTTAAAAGCTTCTGAAGTTGTAGATATTGAAATGAAATAGTGACTCACAAGTTCACTTACAACTCGTCAGCTACATTACTGAAGACATTTGTGGTATTTCACAATGAAGTCCCCATAATCAGACATAATCGTAACACCTATTATGACCTGAAAAGCAAAGTTTAAAGGAACTAAGTGGGTCCAGGTTTCTACAATCACATCTGTTTTGGTAAAAAGTTTAAGATGCCTGTCTACTTTAAATGTATAGTACCAGTTTTTGGCATACTATTAAGGTGAAAGAAAGCTTCATTTCACATAAAGAATGACATACAGACATGAAAGTACTGAAGCTTATAAGACTGTGAAACTGCATATCACATATGATAATAATTTCTAAGAGTAGATATCATGTGATTGAAAATGCCCATGTTTCTTCTAAGAAGTTGCCAAAGTAACTAGTGCTTTTTGTATGTTTCTAGCCAAGCTTTGATGTAACGAAGAGACTTCAGTTAACTTGGTCTACTAGCCTTCAAATTTTGCCATGCAAGAGAAGTTACCAACATTAAGAAAAGTGCAAAAACCTGAATAAAACAGTGGAGAAATATTCAAGGACATGTTTAGCTCAGTCACTAAACAAGTATGTGCTTTCTGGACTAAGAACAGCTACGCTAAGTTCAAGCTCTGAATCACTATCTAGCTGTAGTTTTTAGAGGCCAGAGAAAAGCACAGCAGGAAAACAATGCGTGCCTGGCCCTGTTCTCACCCCTCCTCTCACACTGAGACACAGCACTGTAACACAGCACAGGGGCCTGCCTTGCTTGACAGAATTCTGAATTTTCTTTGGTTTAAATGCAGCAACACACTTCAAGTGTTCTGAGTGTTTTTAGTCTTCGTTGGACTAAAATTTTCATAAACACAGTCGATTACTCTAAATAGGCCATATTCTGATTGCTGAGAATTTAGTCTCTTTGGGTCCCGTTTCCACCACACAGAGGTGTCTCATCACACTGTTTCTTTATCTAAAGGAGCCTTAACATAGCCAGACTTAAGTCAAAACCTGACAGAGTCAGTCCAAATAAGATCATCATACTGTTTCCCGAATGTAGTTATTCATTTCAGTAACATCTTTCTACTCCTAGCTCCAGGACTCGATGTATAAATAGTACCTGAATTTGAATGCTTGGCTGTTCCTACTGCAAACTGAAGCTTGAAATATGGGGTTCGCCTCCTACAGGTTTACCGTAAGGATTGATTGCAACAGAAGGAGAGGGTGAACAAAAATAGTACTTCATACAACCACTCACACCATTTATGGTACTCCCGCCTAAAAGACTCACAGCATTCTGAAGACACAGGATGAGATCATTTGAGATCTGATCCCAGCATCTATTTTGTGTCTCTACTGGACAACTCCTCTAATCAAAGTGAGCATACAATAGCTGTTAATGTTGCTTGTAGAGCGCCATTTGATACTGTCACCACATTGAATTCCTTCTTCCTAGGTGTTGACGTATTATGTCAGGAATCTTCTGTAAAGCTTTGCAAAGTTACCCATTCCTGGGGGGTAATAGACTACAATATAAAACAGGAGTCATCCTGGCAGCCTCTAAGCAGCGCACATTTCAGATTTTCCAGTGGTTTACTTTTGTCTGTCACATACTGACAGAAGGCAGGTCAAGTAGAACACAAAGTCAGGAGCTTCTGTCATGTTGTACTATGATGTCTTGCTATGGGGAAAAAATTATTCTTCCTTAGACGGACATGCAACCTACCTCCAAAGCTTACCACATGATTTCACATCAATTCTTGTATCTACAATGTTACTTCACCTAAAAGAGTGTCTCATCAAACCTTAACAAAACTGCCAAGACAACCGATGAAAAGTGAAATAAAAAGAGCATACCAATAGTCTATTACTCAAATGGATAGCAGCTTCTTTTAAAGACACACTTATTCCTTCTAGACAGGAATTATATTTCCAGAGAAAAGAGGAAAGTAATACTAGTAGCCCAAACACTAATTTATACCGTGAAGATGATGACTTAGGATGAACCAACTGACTTTGCAGTGAAACACAGTAGCACTCGCATGGTCCCTTACCAGGAGTTAACCAGGAAGCAGCTATGGTCCCCAGAAGTATGGTGACCAACACTCCCATGTATGTGGATTTCACCCCATGCGACGGAAGCCAGCCCTCCAAGAGTATTTTTGGAAATCTAACCCAGACCTCCATCTAGAACATAACAATAGTGGATGGCCTGAGACCCCATCCCGGCCATGAGGCACCAAAGCCTATGATATCCCAACTATGTTGGCAGGGCTGAGCAGTTCAGTAGCTAACACTTTACCACATTGTGTAATATTTCCGCATCTCATTTCCTCACTCATTAGTTATTAGTAATTATAAGACTACTTCTGCCTCTCCAAACCCAAATATTATGATTCAATATCTGACTTCATTAATAAAATACCTTTTTACCAAGTAGTAAAAAGACATTTTACTGAATTTAACATCACTTTAGAGCTTGAAGTGAAGTAAGTGGGAGAAGGCAGCTTTGGGCTGCAAGGAAGTACAGGAAGCAGATTAGCTACACAAAGACAGGAAAGAAGCTGGAGGCAAGTCTTACTGAGGCTGTCATTATAACAAGTCTAGTTATTAACAGTTACATATAACTAGTCTAGTTTCTAGTTCAAACTGTGCCCACCATTAAGTTTAAAATAGTGAGTATACAGAAGTTTCAGTGCATTCCAACAATTCTTCTACCCCTCTCAAATGTGGAATATGACTCATGGTTTATTTTGTTTACTCTGTGTTTCTTAAGCAACTAAGACAGCCAGCTCCTGTTCTCCATTACATCCAGGTAAGTCTAGCTTACCTCTATTATTTCATGGGTTTCACTTCCAGTTTATCCTGTAGCAACTGAGAATAATTTGACAGATACTCAGATGTGCACTATTAATGAAAGGCACCACACTAATCTTGAGAAAGAACTTGGAACTTCAATTCTAAGTTACTCAAAACTTAAAAAACATGCCACATGTCTCAGGGCTTTCAGTGAATTATGGGGGAAGACCACCCTTGTCAAATGCCAGAAAATTAACTGGTCACCTGTTCCCCTGTTGTTCAATGTAAGTAAAACCCCCAAATTGTTACAGTCAAACTGGTACAACAAGTTTTCAACAATGTGTATATAATGTGTGACTGAAGTTCGCAACTAGCATACTCTTAATATTGACAACTCTCATGGATAAGCAAACAGGCCAAACTGTCCCTCCTTGATACACCAAAAACTGAGAACACAAAACATACTTATTGTAAAGATGATTTTTACCAGAAGCAATATTGAAGTGAAAGCATGCTGTCATTTATGCTCTCACACAAGCACCATTCAAGACGCCTGCTGGATACTTTTCCATTAAGTATATGAGACAGAGAATTAAATATACCAAGAAGAGGTAAAATAGACACCAGATAATGAGACCATGGGAAAGAACTGGCAGTGTCCCACGATTAGTATGAGGTCACTGAAACTGAATTACTGACTCAACATATCTCTTAACACTGTACTCAAATTTTAAGTTTACTTTCCTGAACCTCTTTCAGAAAGTATGCAACAGCTATTACAGGCACGGCAGTGCAATGCCATCTAACCATTCTTTACACTGAAATAAAGAACAGGACTGTTACAGTAATAGCTCCAGCACAGATCTCAGCCTAACTGAACCTATGCATGCCTTTTCAGCACAGACTTGCCTTACCACACAAATACTTATGCCCACAGCATCCTGCACTAAATGAGTTTATTATTCTGAAAGCCTGGGGATTACTGAAAACTACTAGGAAAAAAGAAGTTTCTCTTCCAGTTACAGGTCAGAATTGCTAGTCTAACTCAGCATTGCACTAGAACACTTGATGACTCAAGTTTTACTGACTTGTGAGGTCACAACATTGATAACAAGAGACAGAGGAATGTAATAGTCCAACCTGATCACTGCAGAATCCACAGCACAAAGAGTGTGTGCTGTTTGTTTCACGGTTTGATGGCTGCTGTCACAAGTGTGCATTTTTAAACAGAAGGGTCTTGATATCACACAGCTAATGCCAAGAAGAATAATTTCCACGTGTTCATGGAGATCTAGCGTCAATAACTAGTTCTGATATTGCAACCTACTGTTATGCAGATTTACTTACCTGCTGCCCAAAGTAAACCTTAATTTATTCTGACCTAGATTATACAAAGGCGGAGTGACGGACAAAAGCTGTAAATTACCATCCCTTATCATGCTGGAGGAAGAATATGCTATCTATCGAACACCACGCAACAAAGAGTCAAAGGAAGTAAAGAGTCAACGCATGATGAATATACCCGGCCGTGCCCACTTGGCAATAGAACTGCCGACAGCTGTACATAGCGTTCACACTCGGGATCCTTCACTTATAACCCTGAGGCGTGCCAGTACAATACAGCCCCCGGAGCAGTCACGGCGTCCCCGGGAAGCAAAAAGGCAGGCCCGAGGCCGACTTCATCCAGGAGCGGCCCGAAGCCCCCGGATGCGGCTCCCGGCTCGGCAGCAGCCCCCGTCGCGCCGCCTCGGCGCCGGGGCCAACAAGGCGAGCCCCAGCCGGGCAGCGCCTCATCCCTCACGGGGCGGCCGGCAGGGTGGGGCGGCCGGGCCGCCCCTCGCCCTCCCCACGGCCGCGGGGTGCCGGAGAAAGGCCGCTCGCCAGCGGCTGCTCCTCCGGGAGGCAGCGCCTGGGGGAAGCGGCTGAAGACCGGGAAAGGGCCTCCGCCGCGCCCCCGACCCGCTCTTACCTCCTCCGCCTCTTTTCCCAGGGGGATGCCCATGGCCCGGAGGCCCGTCTGGAGCTCGGCGATATCCACCCTCCCATCTTCGTTGAGGTCCAGCTTCCTGAAGAGGTTAGCGTACCGGGAGTCGCCATCCCTGCTCCCGTCGCAAGCGGCCGCCGGCAACGCGAGGCCTCGCAGGAGCTGGAACATGGCGCTGCCGTGCAGCACAGGCAGCGGGACGCTCGCCCCTCGGCTCCTGCGGGCTGGGCGCGGACAGGAGGCACCGCCTGTGCTGCTGCCAACGCCCGCAGCTGCCAGAGGAGGAGCCGAGCCGAGCCGGCCCGGCCCCGCCTCAGCGGCGAGGAGGAGGAGCGCTGAGGCGGGGAGCGCGCCGCGGAGGGAAGAGGGTGGGCGGCAGCCGCAGCCCCTCAGGCGCGCCTCAGCTCTCCTGCCCGCACTTAGACGGTTGTATCCAGCTAAACGTTTCCAGTACAAGTAGAGAAGTACCAACAACGCTTCGAAAGACCTAATTTGGATACTTTGGCTCATTCTAGTCACCACCAGTTGAGGTCTGGGTTGAAGCTGTGTGAAGAGCCCTTAGTCTAGGGGCAATCTTTGGCCTAATAGAACAAAGACTAGAAGAGGAAACTTCTAGGTTTTTTGCTTCATAAATAAATCAGTGGGGTAAATGTAAAAGGACACAGCTGGTATAAGAACAAATGGATAGAAAATGTCAGCAAGGAGGCTCTCTGTGAGAGAGCTGCAGTGAAAACAAGAGCCGCTGAATTGAGTCTTGCTTTCCCGGTGCATTTCAGCCTTGTAGTGGGAACTTAGTAGCCTTGCCCAAAGCATAATTAATAAAGCTAATGGTCTACGTTGCCTGACCATAGACTAATTAGTGTTTGAAAAAGGGCTAGACGCTACTATGACTTGCCTACACAAAGACTACCTGCTTGTGTTATAGGTTCACTGAATAAGTGGGGTGGAAAGGGACCTCAGGGACTCTGTAGTCCAACCTCCTGCTCGAAGCAACCTCAGCCATGAGCTCAGACCAGGTTACTTAGGTCTTTTTTCAGTCTTGAAGACCTCCAAGGATGGAGACTGGACAACCTTCCCAGGCAGTCTGCTCTACAGCCTGACTGTCCTCACAGGGAGGAAGCTTTTCCCTTTTGATCTACTCTGAGCTGTTGCTCATTTCAGTTTGTGCCTGCTGTCTCTTATCTTCCCACATGCCCCATTACAAGGACCCTGACCCTACTTCCTTTATAGACTCCGTAGGTACAAGGAAGGTGGAGGCCTCCTTTTAGGTCCCCACAAAGCCTTCTTTTATCCCAGTTGAGCAAACTCAAGTTTCCTCAGCCTCTCCTCACACAGCAAGTGCTCCAGCCCCCAGACATCTTGGTGGCCCCTTGCTGAACTTGCCAGTTTATCTACGTCTTTCAGGTACTGAGGAACCCAGAACTGGACTAGAGTGTCTAAATACAGTCTAGCTTGTGCAGAATAGAAGGTGATAACCACTTCTCTCCATCTGCTGGCCATGCTCATGTTAATACAGCCCAGGATGCTGCTGGCCTTGTTTACTACTAGGACACACTGCTGGCCCATGCTCAGCTTGCTCCCTGCCAAGACCCCCAGGTCCTTCTCAGCAGAGCTGCTCCCTAGTCTGTATTGTTGCAAGGGGCTATTCCTTCCTATGTGTGGTACTTCACGTTTGTCCTTGTGGAAATTCATAAGGTCCCTGTCACCCCATTCCTCCAGCCTCTCTGAATGGCAGCCCTGCACTTGAGCACACCAGCTGGTCCCCCACAGTTTGGCATCATCTGGAAACTTGATGAGAGTATACTCCACTGCCTCCACCTAACTGATATATAGGTTAAACAAGACAGGTCCAAATATAAACATGTTACTTTGTTAGTACAGCTAACTTTATGTATCGGAACAAGCAGAGTCTGAACATACTTCACTTCTTTCTGGAATAAGGAAAGTGAACATTGCTGAGGTCATTGCATTCCAGTGATATAATACTGCTAAATAGCATGGCCTTTGATTCCGTTTTTCTACTTATACCATCATCCTTACATCTTTAATAAAGTACAGTGACTGCAACATTCTCTTTTATCACTAATCAGAACATGCACATAATAACTATCTGTACTAGTTATTGAATACATAGAAATATGACATAAGAGGGAAAGAAACAGTGCTACCTTAAGCTCCCATTGCATATCACTAGGTTTCTAATATCCAGCATTGTCATTGTGTAATGAATGGGTTAACTTTGTTCATGAAATCGAGAAGGGGGAAGAGACATATTGAGAGTTAACATATGCCTTGTGTAATTAACAAAAACTTGCTTAAGTGATGCGTGAAGGTCACGGGGAGGAAAGCAATGGCTGTAAGTTACTAGATAAGGGGGAAGAAAGCAATGGCTATAACTTACTAGATAAGGAGAGGAAGGACAACAGCTGCAATTAACAAAGACTGTATTTCTCCACATCAAAAGACATTCTACATCAAAGGATACTCATCCTTGAGAAAATCTACCGAATCTACATAGTAACAGACCTGCACAAGTGAAGAAAGAAGAAGCAGGACAAGGCGGAGACTTACAAGAAAGGGGTACATGAAATGTATATAAGGCATGTAACGGTAACATAAAGTTGCGGGCCTGTGGCGGAGCATTGCCTCCCCGGCCGCCCAGCGCTGTTTTGCTCTCTTATTGCTTGCTAATAAATTTGATTTTTTTTCAATACAAATTGGCTCCTCCAATTTGTCGCGAGTGTTTATAACAATTGTCTGAGGTGTTGATGAAGTACAGTTATTTTCTTACATGATGAATATCATACTAAATACTGTACTTCTGTATTAACACCATGTCTGAACTAGAACCACTCAAAAATTAACACCAAATACCTGAAGCATACACTTAAATTGACCTCAGACAGTTTTACCCTATATTGTGTGCTAATGTCATGTAGATGTTCAACATCACCTAATCATTTCCAAGTGATCAATAAAGCTATACACAAGCACTCAAGGAACCTGCAGGCATTGAGTGTTAATATTTTTCCTAGCAGTATAATGACAGACACCACATTTTGGTAACCACTTCAGGGTGAATAGGGACATATTATATATACACACACTTAAAATTTTTTTATTAATCAAATATAACTTACTTTAGTGGCAATACATACAAGTTTGTGAACTGATCAAGTATCTGCTGTAATTTACCTGCAGTGTGGGTTGAAAGCAATGTCTGATGGGGGAATGATTGACTAAAGTAAGCGGCATAAATAAATATCAAGACAAGAAAACCTCAATGGAATACTGACATTTTTTCTAAAAACTCTGTAGTTGTCATTAACACGTGTAAAGTTCATGTCAATAGTCCAAAATTCAAGGTAAAAGAGGAAGAGTTGCACTTGTTCGTCCTAAAGCAAGAAGGAAGAACAGATAGTTTTTGGCAGGTTTGGCTTTTGTAAGTGCATCCTGCACAGTTATAATTTACACAGTGTGTGTCATACTGTTAGGAGTTGTGTAGGAAAAGTAGGCCACAGAAAACAGGCAAATAATAGAGCTTGATGGTTAGACAACTCATATTTGCAAACAAATTCTGCTTTGACTTGCATGCATGGCAGAAGGTTGGAAGTACACGTTGTATTTCATTGGTCCAACTGTTTAACCATGATGTGACTACAGTGAAACTCATTTTTCATTGAGTGATTCCAGATTTGCACTGGTCTTCCTGAAAATGGACTAAGTAGCATAGAGCTGTGCAGAGGGTTTAAATAACTTTAGTATGGCTGGCTGATACCAGTAAGAAAAGTGGGTAAGTCTCAGATACTTTACATATATTGATGGATAGACTATTAGATACTCATCTGAGTAAGCCATTGCCCTTGTTGAAAGTTACGAACACTAGTTTGGCCTAATTAACCTACTGCAGTGACATCTGAGACAATGACCACAAACACAATTCTGGAGCTCTGCCTCAGTTACATCTCTAACAAGAAAATATGTGCTTCCTATTATTTGGAAGCTAGCACTACCAAAGCTATGACTTCTACAAATGGTCTTACGACAGGTTTTGGGGCTGTATCATTTATAGAGTCGTTGTTTGTTAAAAAGGAGTTTTGAATAAGCCATCACCTTGCACTCCAATTTTTACCTTGCTTGAAGGAACTGCAGAGCTGCAAAGGACATCCGAGTCAAGAAATATCTTTGCCCAATATACGCACCTAAAATAAGATTTTTCTTTTTAAAATTCTGTAACATTTATATTATTTGTATTGAGTATTAAGGCTTTCTGATATCAACACTGATTAGTATCAAAACATCAAAAACATATCAAAAATACATGCATTTAACTCACTAAACCAAGAGCTTTTAATTAGTATATATATCAATACATGTACAATAAATGTTTAAATTATATCAATACTGTCCACTTAGAGGAAGTGCTATAAATACCACAAAACCTCAGAGGCTAGATGCAGACTTGATATATTTTATTGATAGGCTAAAAGATAATTCAGCTGAATTGCATCATTCAGTGTCTGCTCTAGATATTGTAGCTCTTTTTCTGTGAGCAAGGAAACACTTCATAATAATATTAAAATTACGAAAATAGTCTACTGCATGAGCCATAAGTCACTTCTGGCTTAAGTCCAGGGACTGCAGTGAAGTTGAGTAATTTTTAAATGATGAAATCAAATCCAGTTTGAAGTTGAGTAGTTTTTAAATAAAATCAAATCCAGTTAAAAAATTGTCATCTTAAGTACATCCAGAAGTTTTATGTCACCTGAAGGAGCAATTGTCAGGACACACACAGGAGGATGTAATTAAACACCACAAAGGCAATAAGTATTTCAAAGGCAACAAAGTTCAGTGTTTTTTCTTGTTTTAGGGTAAAATGAATACTTGCTCCACTGTATAGATGCAATTAGCTCAAGTTTTAAACTGTCATTATAAAAAAATTAAAAACAAATATATTTTGGAATCTTACTATCATATTATAACAAGCTATACCATAACAATTCAGAGTCTTTTATTATTTTTCATATTTTTCCTCATTGGTGCTTGTCTTTTCTAGCACATGGCATTGGACTGGTTTAAGCATGAAAAAGGAATTATGTCTTAATTCAGAAAGATTGGTGCTGTAATACAGGTAAATATGGTTTACAAATTAAGAAATCATGATTTAATATTGTCAATGGAGGTTAAGCTGGGTATGCTTCAGCTGTGTTCTGACTTGTCCTGTGACACATCACCATTTTGGAGGTCACAGAACACCA